ACGTGTGCTCTTCCGATCTATCAAAGTCGTAAAAATGGATGGAAACTATTATCGAATTTTATACGTAAAAGTATCTTTTCCATTTCTTTCAACAGCTGTCAAATCGTGAGTTTTCTTGTCTGAATAAGCTTCACTTTATGTGCCTTTTACGGCTATTTACTTTCAGGGAGGAAAAGGATAGTTTACACCCAGTTTTAAAAGTTTTCTAAAGCATCCTTATTTATTAATTTTATCCAAATCTTTATTTAAAAATGGCACGCAACAAACTTTTATGTGTCATTTCTCGCTGTTTCTCGCTTATGAGTCCAATATGGTCGCGGTGACTAGGTAGGAGCCTTAAGAGGATGCTGAAGGTCGGCCAAATTTGCACGAGGTCGATAAAACAGTCTGTTCAATTTCAGTGGTACCTCTAAAATCTCTAAATGAACTTACAATATCTTCTGTCTCAGTCAAACACGTACATTGTCCTTATCTAACTTATTGAAGCCATCTCTTGCATAATCCGGCACTTACAACTAGACGTAATTTTTGCTGTTTTTACATTCCGTATTTTGGCTATGGGTACGAATTACCATAAATTACAGTTATGTAAATAACTTTTTTTTATACGCTTTTAATCGTAACCAAAAGGTTTTGTGTTATTCGTTCATGTAATCCGCGTCGGGGGACGTACGTATTTTGTACATATGGATATGAGCTACAGAACTTTTACCAGAGAGAATACTTCTCTCTGCTTTTATACACTAATGAAATGTTTACTTCAAGTGACAGCTGTATGATTCGAAAAAATGTAATTTCTTAACTTTTTTTTGTTTTTACTACAAATTCCTTTGTCCCACCACTACACTTCATGTCTATTTCAATTTTCAATCCTGTGAAAGGATTTTCAATTCTGTTCAGTCAATTCGGAGATATTTATATAAATGTAATGTGTCAGTAATTCCGACCTTCCAGCATCGCCTTAATCATTTGTATGTTATCATTTATTTAAATGATAATTATTTAGGTGGAAATAATTTGTACGGAACTAGAAACAGATTTTTATTGTAAGCCAAAGGAAATGGACAAATTGTTTAAACGGACTCCATGTCATGATTTGTCAGCTGTTTTGAAAAAATTATTACGAGATTTGCCGCAACCTCTTTTTACTGTTGAGTTGATTGATGCTTTCTACCAAAGTCATGGTTAGTAGATTATACATAAATTATAATATAATATATTTATTATAATAAATTGTATATAGATTATAATATTTTGTGTATATATGCTATGAGGATATAAAGAAATAATTTCATATGTAGGTGTCAAGAATCCTAATGACTTGGTATATTCTCTTAATTTGTTGGTGCTATTGCTACCTGTCGAGCATCGTTGTACTTTAGAGGCATTGTTAAATTTCTTGAAGTTAGTCATTGAAAACCAGGCATCGAATAAAATGTCGATACACAATGTGGCAATGATAGTGGCACCATCGCTCTTCCCACCCCGATATGTTCATCCTCGGGACCATACCGATCTAACCGCCCAGGTCAACATGGCTGCTATATGTTGTCAAATAACGGAAGTTTTGCTTAACAATGTTGAGAAGTTATGGTACGTTCCAATGGAGCTTATAAATCAATTACGGAGACAGTCTGAGGTAGAGAGATATCGTAAATACAAGAAAAAATATTGATTATAATTTTGTAACTTACATTATCACAATGCGTGATTTCAAACTGTTTCATATTAATACATCAGACGTGTAAGATATTAACAGATCGAATTTTATAAGAATTATTTTAGATGATGCTTAAAGTTGCATTCATAATATTTTGAATGATAGCATATGGCGAGTGTCTACTTGCATGTTATGAGATCTGAAATATATATTTTGTTTCTTTTTAATTCTAAGATGTACAATTAATCAATGCGTTACTTAAACAAGTTTTAATTCTCATTAGTTAATTATTGTATATCACATTTCACCTCATTTCTTTTTCATGATTATAATTAATGTTATCATAATTTCCTTATTATCATATATTTATCAATTTGCACATGTATAATGATTTGTTTAGAGGTACAATAATTTAGTAGAGATAGATTTTCTTTTGGTAGATTAAAAATTAAGTAAAAGTTTTACGAGAACAAATTATTACGATTGCGTGAAATATTCATTCATACACCAATGAATATTTATATTCTTGCGTTGTATCTATATATAACTTTTTAACTATTATACATATATACATGTATTATGCGTACGTGCGTGCGTGTGTGTGTGTGTGTGTGTGTATGCATGTATGTATGTATGATGTATGCAGGATTGGGAAGTGACGCATTGCTTGTAACGCCGTTACTGTTTTCGTTACTTTTTTCTATTTGTAACAGTAATGTTACATTTTTACAATAACGGTAACGTAATTTATTTTTATCGTTACTTTACTTTTATTTTCTTATTTTAATTTTATTTTAATTTAAATATATTTTTAATTTTTTTTTTTGAAAAATATTTTGTACTTTATATTTTGCATTCTTAGACTACATTCCCATAATCACTATTGAAAATCTGTAATTCATGTTACATATATACTATAGATTTTCAGTACAGATGGTGATTATGGAAATGTAGTCTAAAAATACAAAATATTGGGTAGAAAATATTTTTATACAATAAATATTGGAATGCACTCTTAATAATGACATTAATATATAAAAACAAATTTAATCTAACTTTCTATTAAAATAAGTAATATGAAGAAAAACTTGCTCTATATACAGACTAGTTTTAAGAGTTTCAAATTTTAATATTTATAATTACATTTAATGTTAATAAATTTTCATCAAATATTATAAATTTAAAATCTAATTACTTATTTCATATTATAAAAAAGTAACACATCATTACTTTTCAAATAATGGTAACGGTCACGTGTTACTTTTTAAAATTAGTAATGAATTACTTTTTACAAAAAATAACAGTAATGGTAACGCATCACTTTTTAAAGGTGCTAATGTTCTCTCAGTCCTGTATATATTGATAATAAGCAGTAAAGCAAAATAAAATATGCGACAATATATTCATGTATTACAGAATTTTGTATAATATGATACGAGAAGTGGCATTTCAGATATTATAACATTAACAACATAACAGTTTTATAACTTATTATAATTGTGAATTTCAATCTATATAATCAATGAAACCTCATTAGGATAATATTAATTTTAATTCTTCATTCAAAAATGTTGCTTTTTGATAGATTTATGCGATAATTTGATGAAATCAACTATAAGTGGTATCTCAGTTTGTATAAAAATGTACAGTAACTAATTGAAAGAGAGATATTAAATTAAATTATTAGATTTTGTTAGAATATTTATAAAAAATATCTTTAATCTTGAAAAAAGGCTGACATTTATGAGATTGGATAAATATAAAGTAATTATGATCTCATAATTACTTTATATTTATCCAATGATATCAGTAATGTGTCTATAAATTTCATAGAATTGAAAAGTTCATTACACATAGAATAATATTAAGAGAGAGGTGAAATTTCTAATGTTCTAATATCTATAGATTTCTAATATTATTGTAACATTTTCACAAAGAGTATATTATCTTTATCATTTGATACGCCATATTATTGTAAGACTTTGTATATATCATTTTGTAAATTGTTATATTCGCATAAGTAATAAAGTGCCAAAGAAAATAAACATTGAATAAATATCCCTTTAATTCCTTGTATACTATATATTTCGTACATATGTCTACTCTACATAGATCTTATACATCTGGATGCGTCTTTCCCTGTAAAGATATAATAAATAGTGTTTTATCTTTTATCCTTCTGTCAAAGTAATCTATGCAATGCTATATGATGTTAATGCTCGAAATGATTAAAAATTGGTCTCCAGTTTCATTTCCTATGTCTATGGTTTCACGTAAATCGCGCACTACAATAACTGATACATATATTACTCTTGTACGCTATCAACTCTTTCATGTTTTGCCTAATCAGCCACGAACTCCGCGTTGACGGTGGCGACACTATATTGCGGTAGAAAGAAATTAGAAGCTTCTTGTCATATTAGGCTCGTTCTATGTCATATATATATATATTAGTGTTTTAAGTCATAAACCGTGATAATTCTACAGAATATATTGTATGCCGATATCGTAAGCAGTGTAAAATTGATCAATCACAGTCGAATATGCAGAGAATACTCGACTTGAAGAAAAGAATAACGGACCTATACTGTGAAATGTTGACAACGAATTTTGTCTTGCGTGCCA